TGTATAGCGCCCAATTTATAACAGAAGTTATCTCCAGGACACTTTTCAAAATAGAAGCAGGTCTAGACCAAGCTACTTAATAACATTTACAGGACCCAACCAGCTAGCCACCTATGACGCAAGCACTTTGGCGACGGGGGCCATGGAAAAGAACTGCCTTTTAAGAGGGGGTAGAAACTCTGGACAGACCCTTCGGGCTCGCTAGCGTGGGTGGTCATCTGCCTCGGATGAGTCAGTAACCTGTAGTCCAACTAATAATAGTGATTATGAATATTAACAATGATCGTTTCCTATGACTACTTCACAATAAGGAGTCAACTTCGTCTTTCACCAGTTGAAGACACAGATGGTGTAGGCATTTAGTGGCAATCTAGTGGCTTAAATCTGTAGCTTACAATTAAAGTGCTGAAGGAGCAAACTAAGGTGGCCGCAAAACAATAAGATTGCTTAGCTGATGAAAGTACGCTCATATGATCACCACTAGAGGTAACAATGCGCGTTTGATACATCTATCAGCCCTCACTCTGGTAGATTGCTACATTGTCCAAGGAGTCCGCCAACAGGTGAAGAAGACTCTGCCGCAATGAAGGAACTCCGCCTGAGCCTCGGCCCTGTCAGAAGTTGCAAGACCTGCCGCTAGGCCTAGCGGGTCAGATGTACTGTCTACCCTCACCAGCACCAGTATGCACTCACACTGGTGTGTGAGACTCTAACATCCTGTGCAGTCCCAAAAAGTCAATAGTTATTCACTCAGAGCAGCAGCATACATGAAAAAAGAAAACCAAATCATGTAACTGTACCCCTCCACTCAAGCCGCCCGGCTCACGCCTCGCTGCCTGTGCTTGCCTATCGGCTCTTCAACTGAAGCCTTTCTCTGATATAACTGCTTCTAACAGTATGCCTCCTATCACCGCTATGTGCCTACCTGCTCACGATGAGGCAACAGTGTCATACATACTATTTTTAGCAAACTCATCACTACTATCATATTCCTCTGCCTCATCACTATTACATCATACATCCTGCTTTATTCTCTCCTCACCTCCACCCTAATCTGCCTACTATATTACTACCCTTCCTCATTCCTTCTCTCATTATTCCATTCACACATTATGATTACCCTTCTAACTATTCGTTTCTTCTCTTTAATAGTACCATATTCGTCTCTTTTCAGAGTTATATAGTAAATAAAGCACCTTGAATTGACACTGCGTGGTTTATCTCGAATATAAATTATACCCCATTCTTATTTTCGTAAATGTGTGTCTTTCCAACACGAGAATGTCGCCGTGCATCGCATCGGTCTTATTCTTCGCATTTGCAGATACTCTCCTCTCCATATAATCCAGGAATGCAGTTGCTTTCTTCCTCTTCAATTGGCCCTTTCAGCCTCTTGTCACCACACTCATGGGATCGATGAAGATACCGGCGTGACCTCCGTTCTAGCTCGAGTACAAGCGAAATGAATCTGAATCTTGCTGAGCATCTCTGTTGACCTAGAGTGGAAGCTGAGAGCCTGGCGGTGCCGTCGTGTGATCCTAAGTTGAGAGACTCAAAATAGAGAGCCATGGTCGAGTAACTGTGCAGACTTACAGCTGACACAAGAAGTATCACTACATGCAATGCGTCGTGAGGCTTACCACGTGCCGAAGAGACAAAATCCATTACCATAGCCGCACCAACTCACCCAGTTATCGCCGTGTAGGGTCTCCGAACAAAGGTAGAGTGATCGCGCGACACTAGCCAGATAACATGAGAAAAACCAGAAATGCGTGGGTATACGTGATGCCTCCACTGCCTGGCGCCAAAAATTGTGCGTTATAGGTCGAAACTCAGAGATGCCTTTAGCAAGAGCTGTGATCCCTATTGTGTCCCGCTACGCGCTCCGGATGGAATAAATATGCATGTGGCCCCCGGACAATGCATGCATGAAACCACGTAGGGTAATACCTATGGGTGTTCGAGGAAAGAGACCCAAAGTCACGTCCATAGACAAACACACTAATAAAATTTAATTGAATTGAACTGAAAATGCAATGTGTTTGCATCGTTTATACCATAACTCTGAATTAAAGGATTTTTTTAATTTTAAGAAGAAAACAGGAGAGAAAATATATTTTGAAGATGGTCTGAGAAATAAATTATAATATATAATTTTTTTTATTATTTGTCTTCAGTCTTGTTTCGTTAAAATAAACATGTGAAAATCCCATCCCATTCCATCCAACCCGGTGGATTAAGTTCACTTCTATGAAGTAAACTAAATGTAAAGTAAATTGTTAAGTACATTTTCTCATATATCAATCAGGCTCAAGAAAACACTGACTTTTTTGAGAAAAGAAAAATATAAAGTTTGTATGATTGTTAGAAATGCTACAAAAAAACAAAACATAATACAGACAGAGAATTGTATAAAAGGTTCCCTAAACAGGGAATAATCTGCTCAAAATTCATCCAAATCCCTAATTTCACATAAACTTCTTGCAGTTACTACAATCCCAATTGTACCTCTTCCCACTGAAGACAAATGCCAGATGTTAGTGGGTGTTGGTGGGTTTTTGTCCAGTGTGAAAGGGGCTTTACACACACCAGCCTCCCAGTACAACCACAGTCTGATCTGTTACCCAAGAGGAGCAGTTGGGGATGAAGGCCCTTCCATAATGACACATTAGGGGGGCTAAGTCCTCCATCTGGACCATATTTGACTTTATTGTATATTGAGTGTATACAGTGGCGTGCACAGACTTTTTG